GCACTGGTTTCATTCTGCTTTCTGGTCAAGATGAACTTGGAATTGATGAACTCTCACAACTGGTGACCTTTCTCCCTCTCCTTTTTGATCACATACATTTATTGGTGGTAGGGACCTTGCAATATCATTCCTCGTGTCCCCTTGTTTCTCTGTGGGTTCTGAGTTCGGCCCAGCCACTTTGAAGCATTTTGGTAATGTTGAGAGCTCTTATGCCCCTCAGTCCATGAGTGAGTTGAAATTCTCAGAGGCCATTTAACCAGTGTGCCATTTGTTACTGAGTCTAAAGCTTTCACAACTAACTTAGATCAAGAGTGAACCATCTGAAGCAAGCAAACTCCATAAAATAGTGAAAGTTTGGGCATATGTTGTTTTGTGTAGGATCTAGACCCTACAGACTTTGGGTGTAAGTCTCTGAGAAAGGAGAAGGGGGATTAATTGAGAGTGTTTGCAGTTTTCTGTGACCTCTGAAAATACACTTGGAAGTTACTGAAGTCTTACTAAAGATCTTCAGAAGTGGCTGACAACTTTCCAAATTTACCATGTTGTTGTTAAGTGCCGTCGAGTCTGTTCCAACTCACAGTGGCCCTATGTAGGGTTTCCGAGAAGTGGCTGGTGAGCTTGAACCACCAACCTTGTGGTTCAAACTGACCTTGCAGTTCAATGCATTAACCCACAGTGCCACACCAGGACTCCAAAACTTACCATTGTCTTTAAATATTTCTGAGGACCAGTGTTCAGGCCATTGCAGTTAAGTTCTTTCTAGCTTTGCATATAGTAATACCAATAATATGTGTGTATATGGATTGGCCAAGTGGCAGCATCGATGGACTCAAGTGTGGCAACAGTAGTGAGGTTGGCCCAGGATCGAACAGTGTTTTGTTCTGCTGTGCATAAGGTCTCTATAGGTCAGTACCAACTCGATGGCACCTAACATCAACAACAATATATGCATGCATACATAGCATGTACATATCAAACATCAATTTTCAGCACTAAGTAAGGTAATGGTCACTAAAGATAATTTATGGCTTTTGTAATTTTTAAAAAAATTTTATGACCTTTCCAGAAATCCTCATGATTGGGTGAAATGTCAGATCTTAGCATAATAGGAGACACCAATAGGGGGACCCTAACGTCCTGGAGACTTTTCAGTGTTGTGTTCCAAGGATCCTAGGGAAGGATGGAGAGTCTAGCTCATGGCTCTTTGGCTATGACCCATTTGATTAGCCTCACATTGAAATGAATCACCATGTGCTTTGTTTCCTAGAGACATTTCTACCAGCCAATCTGGACACTGGTGGGTGCTGGTGCTAAACAGTTGTCTTCATCTGGTCGACCCACAGCGAGTGTGATTCCATCTGGAGTTGAATGGATCAAAGAGAAAGTGGTTGAACTTAACCCAGACAAGAACAGTATCCACACAGATAATGGCAAGGAGGTAACAGAATTGAAGAAGGGAGTTTTCCACTTTACACAGATCATTAAGTCAGATCAAGCATGTTGTATTGCACTATTTTCATCGACTCTCAAAAAAACAGTTTCCCAATTATACTGTTGGTCCAATTTATAGGATAAATTGATTTTATTTGGGTTTCACACATTACACTCTGGATTTTTAAAGACAGGGATTGGCTTTTAAGATTAGAAAGTCATTGTCTTACCCTTTAACACAATGCTACTTAAGCACTGCACAAATAAATGTAGTTTCTCTGCTACCTTTCTCCACTGTGTATAAATACAGGGGTCCTGCACTCTCAGGGGCCAGGCAGGCTACCCAGTATTAGAAAAGCATTGAGGTGTGAGGCGATGGAGCATGGTCTGCACAGTGGCAGGCTGGAGCATGCAGCCCTCTCTTTCTGCCTGCCCAACACCCTCTGCCCCACGTCACCCACATTAGAAAAGTGAACTACATGCTGGCCACACACATCTGGGGCCTGCGTTGGCCCCTGAGCTGCCACTTTTTGGGTGCTGGTCTAAAATAACATTGTTTTGTATTGCAGATCTCCTACAAATATCTTATTATTGCTCTTGGAATACAGCTGAACTACGAGAAGGTACTTTTAAAAACTGTTTTTATGTTCCATTGGTCTACTTGTGCCAAGATCAAACACTGCACTTAATTGTTTTATGTTAATTTGATAGGAAAGAGTTCTAAGTCATCATCTTCTAATTTTACTTTGCAATGGTCCTTTCGTGGTTTTACAAATATCTTCTCTAAGATTCCATCCATGATATCAATATATGTTCTAGCTTTAAGCTTTAATCAGAATTCAGCAAGTTCATGCTCTAATAGTAATTCTTGAAAAAACAGAAGATTTTTTTATACTTACAAGAAAACTGCCTTTCTATGCAAGACTGGGTTAGCTGTATGAAATGTTAAGTCTGACTTTGGAAGCAATTCTTAACAGATTGTCTAGTACTAGTATAACAGAAATACCACAAACACGTGGCTTTAACAAGCACAAAGTTATTTTCTCACAGTTTAGGAGGTTAAAAGTCCAAATTCAGGGTGCTACCTCTAGAGGAAAGCCTTTTCTCTCTGTTCACTCTGGAGGAAGGTTCTCGTCTTTGTCAGCTACTGCTTCTGGGTGATCTTCATGTGCTTGGCATCTCTCTTCCCCAGTCTCTGCTTCTCTCACTTGCTTGTTTAATCTCTTCTAGCTCTCAAAAGATATCGACTCATAAGGTACCCTACTCTAGTCCTGTCTCATTCATATAGCAAAATCAACCTATTCCCAAATGGGCTTATAACTGTAGGCATAAAGGCTAGGATTTATGACATAGATTTTGAGGGGGGGGGAGGCCCAGTCCTGGTGTGGTGCTGTGGGTTAATGCACTTGACTGCAATGTCGATTTTAACTGCAAGGACAGAGGTTCAAGCTCACCAGCCACTCCTCGGAAATTCTATACAGGATCACTATGAGTCAAACCAACTCGATGGTACTTAACAACAACAAATTCAATATGTAACTGAGACTTTAAGGGCATTTAAACTCATTATACTTGAACTCATTAGGCACTGGGAGGACTTCTGGGATCTGTTGTATAGAGGCTGGGGTGTCTTGTATGTAAAGTGATTGTCACAATATAAACACTACCTTCACAGCACCTTAGGGCTCTTTCAGCAAATGAGAGAGCTGTATGCTAGCTGACAGTTGTGAGACTCAAGTTTTTCTATAGCGTAATGGAGAACTTATTATAGTTTCTAGTATTTAATATAACTTCCAGAAGCTTGTAGGGGACTGTTGATAATGAATCGGAACACATCAAGCACAGTGATCACCAGGCCACAGGCTGTAGGGATGTGACCCAGGAGAGGTTTTCATCTGAGTGGGCTCAGTAAGGAATGTGTTCCTATGTTACCTGAGTCAGGACATATCCAGGGTGGGATTAGTGAAAATGTGTTGGCGTGTGTTCTGTAACAAGAAAATATGAGTCATGATTCAGAAGGCTCATATAACAGAGGACTAACTCTATGGGCTATACTATATGGGGGAAAGTGTCAATTACAACTACTTCTGGGAGGTCATACAGCTCAGTAAAGCCCAAACCAGTGTTGACATGTGTATCTATGTAACACCAGTACCACCAGAGCAGTTGTCTTCCCCTATGACTACCCGTTGTGTGTCAGGGTGCTCCACAGGGCTGCTGTTTTTGAAACACATCACCAGGTCTTTCTTCCAAGGTGTGACTGGAACCTTCTACCTTTCTGTTAGCAGCTGAGCACATTGTTTGCAATACCCAGGGACACTATCTATACAATCCTGTCTCCCAAACAGTCCCCAAGGCTGTGCGAGGAGGACTGTTTGAAGAGACCAGTGCTGAGAATTCTTAGCAGACTCTTGCAGCAAAACAAGAGACAATAAGGTTTAAAAGTGGTAATTATTATGGCATTTCCTCTTTGCACCCTGTTAGGAATCTAATATTGATTCCTTACAACTTCTTGTGAGGGTTGTTGTTGTTGTTGTTGATAGGTGTCATTGAGTCAGTACCAACCCATAGCGACCTTATGCCCAGCAGAACAAACCACTGCTGGATCCTGGGCCAACTTCACTACTGTTGCCACGCTTCAGTCCATCGATGCTGCCACTTTGCCAATCCATCTCACTAGGGGT